GTCTGAATCCTCTAATTTATAATATATATTAAAGTATTTTTCTATGTTAATCTTTTTCCACTTATTCATTCGTATATTTTATGTATCCTTTTTTTTCTTGTATTTTTTCTATTTCTTCTTCTTTTCTTAAGTTATCTATTTCATCAATTAATTCTTTAGTTCTCTTCTCAATTAACTTCTTTATCTGTTTGTCTTTAATATGTTTTCTTACTCCTTTCTTGCTTAATTCTGCAAGTATTTCTTCATCTTCGTGGATTATTATATTTGCTCCTTCTTCAAAGTATATATTTTGTAGGGCTTGAATAATATTATAGGAAATTGTTGATAGTTTTCATAGTAACATGTTATATATTCGTTTGTTGGTATTTTTCAAATATCTCGTCGTGTATTGATTCTAGTTGTGTTTGGAGTATATTTAATTTTCTAATATATAGATCCTGTATTTTCTTCGAGTTATGATTGAATATTATTCCTGTTGGTATTTGTATTGCTAGTGCTAAGTCCTTTATTGCTCATAATAATATTAATATGGTTCCTATTTTATAGTTATTTGTCAGTTGTAATCTTGCTATTAGTCTTGTACACGATATTTCTATATCCTTAATTATTTGTTGTTTTGTTCTCTGTTCTAAAATTTCTTTTACTGGGTTAAATCTTGATAGGTTATTTAAGAAAAACCAAATATATTTAAATTGATTTCTAAAGAATTTTTGTCGTCTTTCTTCGTTTCTATTGCTCATTTATTTTTAACAGTTCGTTTATTCTTTTAAGTTCTGTTACTACTTCTTCAATATTCCTTTCTATTGACGGGTGAAGTACTATGTTACTTAAGTTATATATATTTTGAATTACTTCCAATTCTTCTGTGAATTCTTCATCTGTGTATAGGAATTCTTCAAAAAAGTCTTTCTGTAGTTTTAACAAATCTTGTTCATATTCTCTTAGGATGAATATATCGGTTTCTTTTAGTTGTTCGTGTAAGATTATAGATGTTCTAGTAATCTCGTCAAGTATTGTGAGTAAGTTTTCTTTTTTGTCCGTGTTGTGTGGTTTTAGTTGTAAACAAGAGTATAAGTCTCGTACTTTTATTATTTGGGATTTTAGTTCTGTATTTGTTAGATTTAAGAATAGGTCTTGGTTGATTAAGTCTTGTAGTTCTTCTTGATATTGTTTGATTATTTGATCTGCTTGTTCCTTGCTATTTTGATTATTCTCTGAAGTCATTAAATTCTATTTTTAAGAGGTTTTCTTGTTGTCCAATCTGTCTGTAGCTTATTATAGCGTTGGTTATTTTATTTATTATGTAACAAACTCCTATTACTATTACAATATCTCTTAATAATAGTATAAAATGTAATGATGCTCTGTCGTATGCTATTGCTGTTATGGTTAAGTGGTTCATCCACAAAAAGGTCGTGTTGATTAATAGTAATGATAAATCTACTAATTGTTCCAGTGTTAAATTTGTTCTATTAGTTCGTTAATTGATTTTAATATTTCTGATTCAATAAATTTGGTTGTGATTAATTGTTCTATTTGTTCTTCAAATAGTTCTTGATTGGTTGATAAGAATATTAGCTTTGTTCTATAATATAATCGTTGATTTGTTGCTTCTATATTTGTTTGTTTTGATAATATTAGGTTCTTATATTCGTTTAAGATATCTCTTATTTTGACTTTCCAATATTGTTTTGTTTTAGGCATTCACTTCTGTTAATCTAATTATTCTCTGATTGATTAGGTCGTAGACGTATTCAGGTGTTATTTTTCCGTTTTTTAGTTGAGATACTTCTCCTAGAGTCGTATATACTAGATTATAATTGTTTATCTTGCTTTGTTTAGCAAGTAATTAGTGTTGTATATTGATATAGGTTATAGAATTTCTTGTTAAACTTCCTATTAATGGTTGGTTTCTTTGTAAATCATTATCTCTTTGTACTTTAGTCTGGTATACTTCTTGTAACGCTCCTCATAAAAATATTAATACTAGTCATGAGTGAGTTATCGGTCCTTGAGTATTAATTTCGTTAGGTCTGTTTGATATGGTCATTCAATTGTTTATTAATAGTTTCCTTTAGTATCCAGTCAAATCTTTGGTTGTTGGATTTTCTTAATGGTCCTCTTCGTTTATATAGTTTAGGTTATCGCAGCTTTTACAAGTTTGGTTGATTCCGTAAGTACATCTTGTTCTTGATATCCTACAATTGTCACAAGCTTTAGTATTTCTTTGAGAGTTCCTTGTATATTTTATGTAATGGTTCTTTTGATGTATATTGTTTGTATGCATTTGCATGGTCTTGGTCTGGTCTGATTATTGGTCTTTTTATATTTTCTGTTTTATTATTGTTTATTGATTTGTTTTGATTTTGGCGTTTTGCCAAGATAAACATTTATGATAAGATATAATAAAATGATAATAATATTGTTTGTGAGCTAATTATATGATAAACTAAATATGGTATTATTTTGGTTATTTGTCACTTGTTGATGAGCTTGTGCTAAATTTAATGGTCTTTCTGGCACCTTCTTCTAAGTGCTCAATTCTTCTTTTGAGCATATGGTTTTTATTTTTGAGATTTTTTACTTCTGATTCTAGGGTCTCAATCTGTACCAGTGTTTTCAGGGTTGACTTTTCAAGTGTTGATACTCTTGATTTCAGGTCTTCCCTTTCTCCTTCATTTTTTGTTTGTAAATTTAGAACTATTAGTGTTAATTTCTTCAGGTCTGTGGCATTTTGGGATATGTCCTCTTGATATTGGTTCCTTGTGATTTCTTCAATATAGTCATCTAGTTCTTCGATATTTTGTGTTTCGTACTTAAATTCATCATTACTTTCATATCCTTCTTCCGTTTCTCTATGCCATTGTATTTTATTTAGTAATCTTTCTTTGGAGGACGTTGCAACTGGTTCTTCAATATGTTTTTCCATTTCTAGTTCTTTTCTAATATTGTTTAGTTCTTTTCTTGTTCAGTTTGTTCTTTTTCTTCAGGTTCCTTGTCTAGATTGATTGTTTTTCCTTCAATTTCCATAAGGCATTCTAAACAGTATTCATTTTGATAATCTCTATTTTCAGAGTGTATTTCTGATATTGGCATTAAACATGCTTTACAAAGGTTCCAAGCTTGTATTTCCATTTGTTCTTGGTAATCCTCTAATTTTTCTTTTTCTTTTGTGTTAAAATTCATTGAATTTTCCATTCCTATTGCTAATCTTTCATAGTCGCTGTCGTAGTCTTCAAAATCTTTGGTTATTTCTTCATTTCCGTTTTGATAATACCAGTGATAATTTATAATATCATCTTGTTGGTCGTTAGTAATATTTTTAAAGTTTGAGTTGTTGTGATCCCATTGATCTGTTTCGTTCATATATTTATATATTCTTCTAATTCTTGATTCATTAATTTGATAATGGGTATTGGTCTAGTTCCTGGTATAAGTGTGAATTTTCTTCATAATTTCTGAATTGTCTACAATTTGTTCTTCTAGTTGATAAATGAGATTTGCAAATTTTTTCTCTTTGTTACAAAAGAATCGTGTTTGCCAGTTTTCCATTTTCCTTTTGAGTCCTTGTTTTCTGCATAGATAGCAGTTTGCGAGTCTTTCTTGTCCTATGGTCTGGTAGTATTTCTGTGCTCGTTCGTCCCTAATATCGAGTTCTTCAAGGTATTCTCAGTAGCATCCATTGCACATCATCTGTTCTGGTAAGAACATGGGTCTAAAGGTTCTTGGGGATGTGTACAATCCTTGAATATAATATAAGTTTTCAGCTGCTGTAGGTTTGTAGCAATTATAGCAGTGGTGATGGTCTCGTCTCTCTGAGTATGAAGCCCATTCTATATGTTGTTGTCGCCTTAATAAGATTTCCTCGCGTTGCATCCACAAAGAAGGCTTCCATTTTCTTTTAATACTCTATATATTTTACAGTTTTCATTTCTATGATTCTCCCCACAAAACTTGCAGATAAACATTCTTCGGGATGATCCTTGTTGATTATTCCAATGTTGATTGCTTGGGTTACTATAGGATCTTCTCGGATTATAGTTTGATTGGTCTGGTCTAATTTTGTTCAGACAATCTCTCGATTGGTGGTCTTTTTTGTTGCATGAAAAGCATTCTTGGTCTGGGCAATATCTATTTGTGTGTCCTTTTTGATGGCAAATTCCATATGTGAATTCCCTAGTACTTTGTCTCTTTAGAATCGCTTCTCATTCCTTTTTGAATTTTTCCTCGGTGTATTCATTAAATGCTTTCGTTATCCTTTCAACGATTGGTCTTGGTTCATTAAATTCTTCCTTTGTAATTTCTTGGAGTTCTTGGTCTCTGATTTGGCAGTTATGTTCTTCAGGTTTTTCAATATGTTCATCGCACTATTTACAGTAGTTTGGTCCATCTATTAGATTTGTTTGGGTTCATTTTAATTTTTCTTCAACTTTTGATTTTAACAATTTGTATGCTATCAAGGTGGTTCCGTTTAATTCTTTAATTTCTTTAATTAATTTCTCTTTTTCTTCAATGTACGTTGGAGTTTTTGACTCAAATATTTGTTTCTTTATTGCTTTGATTATTTTTTCTGTTTTTTCAGAGTTTATATAATTCTTGTTCTCAGGGTCTTCTTCAATTAGTTTGTTGAGTTCTTTTATTGTTATATTGTATAATCTTCTTAGTTCCTTGCCTGGTTTACTGTCGTAGTTGCAGTTGTGTGAATTATAATATCTCCAACCTAGATTACAATTAATGCAGTGGTGTAATGTGTCTTTGTAAAGTTGTTTTCTTAACCAGTTTATAATGTCGATCCTCTGGTGATAATTTCTAATCTTGTTTTGTTCTTCAAATGTTATTTCTTCCAAATATTTTATTATTCTTTTTTGTTCTTCTTTAAACGTTGGTTCTTCTGATTTCGCGTTTTTTATTTTTGTTAGTATTTCTTTTGTTGATTAATACTCCTAATTTGCTTTTAGTTATTTCTGTTTTGATCATTAAACTCTTTTTAATACTGTGAGTTATCCTAGGTCATTAAAGTGTTTTTCTTTAATTTTTTGTATTCTGAGTTCCAATTCTTCTTTTATAGCTTTAGTATCTTTTCCTTCTAAATATTGAACAATGTTAAAATGTGATTGTTTAAACTTTTGCTTTAGGTCTGGGTCTGTTTGCAATTGTTTTAATATTATTAGTTCTGTCCAGTGCCTGTGTTCAAGATCTTTTGGTTTTCGTTCTGCAAAGGTTATTGTTCCTAAAATAATTAAATATTTATTAAGGTTTTCTAAGTCTCGCTTGTTTTTTGATTTGTTAATTTCTTTGTATAGTAGGCTATTTTTAATTTCTTGTCGTTCTTCTGTATGTGATATAGTTGTTACTTCCGATTTTTTAATGTAGGTTATCCTATAATTTTCTGTTTTTGTCTTTTGTTCAAGCTCCGAATGGTCTGTCTGTTCCTGACAATTGGTCATATAAGTCCTGATTATTTAGTTTGCTTTTTAATACTGTTAGGGTTAAGCAGGTTATAGTGTTTGAATCGTTGATTCTAGATTGTATCCAAGATTCAATTTTTCTGAGTTCAAGTTCTTCTGGGGTTATTTTTCTAGGTACTGAATTCTTAAATTGTTCAATTCGTTTCTTAATTATTCTTTGGTTCCTTTTCAATTCTTTAATTATGTGTTGAGTATCTACCATTTAGGGTCTGTTGTAGTTTTTCTGTTATGTTTTGAATGTCTTTCTGGTTAGTTGTTCAGGGTGCCTTTATATAATTATTTCTTATCAGTAATTTATTCCAGATCTGAATTTGTATTACTTCTTGATTGTATTTCATCAATGAGTTCTTTATTTGCGTCACGTAAACATTCGATAAACGCATCCCATAATCTTTGTTTATTTTGGCGTCTGAAAATATGTTCAAATAAATGATAAGGTAGATCTTTCTTATTTCGGTTTTGGCCTGGTATGTTATCTTTAAGAATTCGCCAAGTGCACTCAATGTTATTTGTGTGCATTATTTTTAATTCGTTTGATCTTTCATCTATTTCTGTTATGGTCATTCCTTTACTGTGATTTATTTGGTGATGTGCAATATTCAGCCGTTCATATATTTTATCATAACTTTTGAACATGTCTGTATAGATTGTTGATTCTGGGTGTATGTATTTCTGAATTAAGTTTAATAGTATTTCAGATGTTCTATCTGGTACTACTTTTGCAAAGAATTCTTTTGTGTTTCGGGATATTCCCCCGAATACCCATACTTTGTTTGCTTTATTATTTTCTCTATCTTTGTAAAATATTGATTTGTCACATTCTACAATATCATCTTTGCCTCCTATTTTATTCTCATACTCTTTGATTTCTTGAGTCACACATGTTCTAAATATTTTGGTCCAATGAGTTGTTGTTGGTAATGATATTTCCATAAAAATATTAATTTGTTTTCTTCTGACTTTAACAATCCAATAGTATCCTATTAATAGTATTTGGTTGCAAGATAATTTGGCGTTTGAGAAAATTGTGCCATTGAATAATAATATCTTTATTCTACAATCTCGATTTGGGCATTTAAAGGTTTTTTCATTCAAGGTCATTTGCCGTAAACAGTAAATATTTAGGCACTTAAGTTCTCGTGGTATTATTTCTTTATCCATTAAATATTCTATACATTTTGATTCGTCTTCAAGGATTTCTTTAAGTTTGTGATATGGTGGTATTGGTCTAGTATTGAGAATATTGGTTCCTTCCATTAGATCTTTTTCTTATCTATTTTGTTTATTGTTATAGATTACTTTCAACTTTTTAGTGTAAGATGTTTATTTACTGATAATTTTGTTGGGTGTCTTCGGGTTAAGGTTATTGTGAGTATCTTGTGCCTTGGGTAAGTTGGGCGTTTTTATATCTTTATCTTTTATTCCAATGTTTAGTTTCACAATTTGTTTGCCACTTTCATCTATCTCCATTTGTCTACTTAACCAATCTGCTATTGTGTTGTCTTTTCCTTTAATTCATTCTACAGTCCAATTAAAATCTTGTAATTTGATAAGCCATCTTTCCATAGTTTGATTTCTTGGCATCTTTCTCGATGAGTCACTTACGCCAGTGTTATCAATTCGTATAATTACATTTTTAGATCCTATGTAATGTTTCCAGTAATTTAAATAAAAATAGATTGCATAAAGTTCTTTTTGTGTGCTTCCCCATAGTTGTTCATTAGGTTTAAGCGTGTGTGATGCTAATTTAATAATTTCTTCTTCGGATTTGGTGTAATCATCTTTATCTTTTGTTCTATTTATTCGTGCATCTTTTGTTTTGTAATGTGCTAAATTTGGATTAATTTGTTTTAGACACGCGCCTATTCCTTTAT